GGGTTAATAACAATCTTTTGATTTTAAGATCTTTTTACCATATTCATTTTTTTAATTTTACAAGACTGAAATAAAATAATAGAACAACAACCCTCTCATTTTATAAATACAAGGTATCTCGAACCCCTTTTACCATCAACTCAATCAAATTTAAAAACACCATCAAAACCAATCAAAATATCTATTCCGAAATATTTGGTTTTACGGTTAACAAAAAAAACCCGCGCTTCTTAAGCGCGGGTCAAAATCTAGTTTTTCTTTAATACTAAGTCCAAAAACCAAACAATTAAATGTCATAAAAACAAAAGTAAGCCCAAAACTCTATTCCATAAATAACCGTCGGTTTAATTTAAGTAATGCGGTTCAATCAAACATATAACTTTTATTATTTGTAACATTCTAGAAAGAGTCCAAATTTAAATGACAACTTGTATCAGTAGATAAAAAGAAGGACTCTATTTTAATAGATTAGATGCATCCAGCATTAGTGACTTCATCGCCTAGTTATTCATGGAAGTCTATTGACTTGTACAAACTCATGCTTACATCTCATAATTGTTGGGAATTTCAGAGAAAGATTAACTATCTGAATATTACATTGTATTTCAGATTGCTTAGGGAAAATCAACTTACAAAGGGAAATATATAAAAACAAAGATAACTTCCCACCTAACCCATAATAACAAAAACAAATAATTAGACCCTACTATTTAGAAAACATCCACTCGTTAAACTCCAATACTTCCCAAAAACTAGTTTTATTTTGAATCAATCAACTGTAATCCCATATGTTCAACTAACTCAAAGAAGAATCATTTATCACAAATCTGTGAATATCCACTGAAATAATCGATAGATAAACTCCTCAAAGTAGGCACATTGGTAGTAAACGTCATCACAATTGACATGGTGATTGTCTCACAACCAAATCTTCAAAAACTGGACAACTACTTAACAGTTAAATCTTTTTCAACAGATTAGTCTTAGAAACTGACAAACAAAAGGTGCAGAGATGGAAACTTGGTCGTTGGAATATCAATGTTTTGATGGTCCTGAATCTATTATCAAAGCTTCTCGGGAATGTTGGATGTTTCATAAAACGATTCGATTCTCACCTCTCTAACATAGTATCGAGCCAATAAATCAATGTAGTTGGTCAGTTTACACAATGGATCAAGCTTGAGATGGAAAATTTGTAAATATCATCATATGACCATGAATCATAATTGAGCATGGTAAAACTTAATATATAGAAAATGAACTAATGTCAAAACCATTAACCAAACCCTAATTCTGACTCCTCCACCACCCCACTAAACCAGAACCTGGTTAATAATAGTCCTCATCTGATTCAGAAAACGAATCCAAAGGGGATCAAGAACAAGTTTCTGAAGGATCAAAGATCCGACCAAAGAATAAAATGGTGCCAGTTTTATCTTCTCGAATCAAGAAAATAAATGGATGGTCAGCCACAAAATCTTTCCTCTTAGGAGGCTCCATATCAAGAGCAAAACCTTGATCGTCATCATCAGCAGTTGCAGCCGCAGCTTCAGCACCTTTTTCATCGATCTCCACGCAAGCTTTATGGTACAATGAAATCGAACGCATTCCTAGTTGATCCAAAACACTTGTAACAGAAAGCCCGAAAGAGATTTTAATCTTTGGAATTCTGAACTCTTCAAGTTCATCTCTGAATCCTGGAATGTAATTATCCACGATGCCAGGAGTAGATCCCATCTTCTCCAGGAGTTCTTACAATCCATCTTTCTTGTCGGGGAGATAGAAATACATTGAGAATTTTCGAATAGTACCATCAGCACTGCCACCTCGTTTATAAGGGAGCCTGAGGACCTTGAAGTCATCATAACTCTTACGTATTGGTAATCAGAGCTGGTCATGAATGGCACAGAGACTGATGTGCCACTGACAAGGTGAAAGTCTATGTCTCTTGTATAGTACTTTTCAAATGGTTTTTTCCAAGCTCCTTTAAAATACAATGCGTTTGCGTAAATCTTGTCGGTTTCGCTTGTCACTGACCCATCAGGAAGAAGATCTTTGATGAGATTATTGGTGTGATTTTCAACCCATGAGTTCACCTCCACACGAACATTTTCAGCCTTCAATAACAAAACATAAAATGTTTGATGAGATTCTTCATACCTATTATTGGAAATTAAGGGTTTTGAAGCACGAACTATTCTGTTCTTCAATTAATACGGGCAACAAGTGTATAGTTAATCTTTGTTGGTTATAATTGAGTTTCTGGTTCCATAAGTATTCATATAGTTAGTAATATTGATTTGTATTAAGTTAGTTAAGCATGAAAAGTTGCAACTGTTTAGAGAAGAGTCATGTTTTTTTTAATATGTAAAGTTGGGTATCGTACATTAAGAGTCAATCTCTTCTAGACAACCTTTAGTTTCTATATATACACAAACTTATTCTGTAAAAACAATTCCAGTGTGTTGTCTTAATTGTTAACTAAGTTTTTTTATATTGATAATTAGAAGATTGTGATATTGATAATCAGAAGATTGTGATATTAGAATCGTCAACAATCTCTAGTTGTACAAAAAAGTAGCTAATCTCTTGTTGTATGAAATTGAACTTAGTCGATTTGTAAGAGACAATATTTCTCATGAAACTCTAAACTTTTTCTGAGCAAAAGATGAAATTAAACACAATCTGCTCTTCAACTAATTCAGACAACACTAAAACTATTAGTTAATGTCTTCTTGTAATGAATTCAAGGAATCACGATGATGATGTTGAAAATGGTTGATTTACAAGAAGACAACATTTCTCACTGAAACCCGAGCTAATATTTTCTGAATTAAAGATGAAACTTTACCTTTGATCGGAAATCAACTGGAGCATACACAGCATTGAAGAATTTCTCGAAGAGATCCTTGAACTTAGGATCAACCGGAAGTGATTTCTCAATCCATAAGCCATTCACCGCAGTGATCTTTGGGCCGCCACTTGCGCTTTGATCGGCGAAGACGATGGAAGATATTTCGCGGAAAATGGTTTTGAGCTCTTCGATTGACGAAGATCTGAGGAAGGAGAGGATTTCACTAGCGATTGAGTCTCCTCCTGAACCAGCGGCATGCATGGTGATCGCAGAGTTGATTGAAGCCGGTGAAAAGATTACATTAGAGGCTTTGGTTGTGGAAGATAAGACGTGCATGGAAAGGTTCACCGCAACGTCGTTTTGGTTCCTCAAAGCTTCTTTAAGATCCATCTTTGACATGCAACGAATGGACTCAGAGATATCAGACTTGCAAAAAGGGTGGATATGATTTTATAGTGAGTGGTTTCTTGGATTAGGAAATTTTAAGTTACTATTTTATCTTTTTGGTTAGTTGAATGAAATCCGGAAACAGATAATTTTATATTGGGAGACTCCGCCCACTTCAAAAAAGTAAATCTACACTATTAAAAGTTAAAACACAAGACCTTTTTTTGAAGTCCCCTTGATTTTTAGAAATATTTACAGATCTTTGCCACTGCATTTTTTTTAAGATATGCTTTGTATCAATCGGTTTTACCCAATAAGTGGGTATGAGCCGATTCTGTTAAATTGACAAAATCTTACGGTTGTTTAGTTGTAAACGAATATACCCTAAATCCCTAAGAATATGGAACGACATCTATTTTAGTTTGATTTTATATCACTTTCAACCGTGGTTGTCAGATTATATTGATGAAGCTTGATACAAATGGTTTCCAGACTTCCATTCCTACGATTGGCACCAATATGCTTGATGATTTTTCTATTCTGTCCTCCACTGATCTTTCCGAACAACTTATGTGAGTTTTATATTGTTGATGAGATTCTTTTGTGTTCATATGTGGGTTGTTGATTTTTTTTTATTGGGTTTAAGTTTGATGAGTTTAGTAAGAAGCTTTATAGATGGTGAAGCCTGTGGAGGAACAACCACACTCGCTTTTTTTCTTCTAAGGTGTCACGGTCGCTGCTGATTTTTGGGCTAAGAGAGGAGGCGAATCAATCAAGACGAAGAAGAAGATTTATGCCAATAAGAAAGCGAACGAATAGGTAAATACTTCTTTGTCCGAGTTGAGTTTTTTTTTTGTTTTGGAAACCCTAACATTTGATTTTTCTAAGATCCTAATTTCTTTCATTGTATGGGTCTAATGGGTGATTTATGACCAATCTTCTTTGATTCACCAGACTGGTTTAATTTAGGACAAAACAGAGCTCTAAGGATCTGCTATATGACTGCTTATCGAAGGGAGTTTATTGGAAAGAGAAGGTATGCAATATGGTGCTATATGACTGCTTATCGAAGGGAGTTTATTGGAAAGGGAAGGTATGCAATATGGTTTTGGATGGTTGATATTTTCTGGGGATGGCAGAAGAAAAATGACAAACCTATAGATCGTGTGATTGCTTCTGGAATCCAACGGTACACATCTTTGAGAAATTCTGGATTGAAAAACATGATACATCAGGTACAAGTAATGGGTTTGGAGTTACAGCTGGTTACTGAAACTCATAGATGGGATTTTGGGTGTCTTGGTCATCTTTTTTGGCTTATATATTTAATAGCATTGGTTGTGAGAATGGAAAATATAATTTCAGGGTTTACGGTTTATATAACTTCAAGGTTCTGTTGGTTTGGATTTTAATTTAGATTTGGATATCTACATTCTTCTCCTAACCAGACATCACAAGTTTGAACAGTTTTTGTATAGTTAGTAGATTGGTGCTGGTCTCAGGTATTGATTAAATTTGTTTGAGCACAATAAGAACATCTTATTCATTAATGGTTCTAAGCTGTTTGCCTATGGCTTTCAGAGAATATGAATTTGAACTTGAAAGTGTTCTGAAGAATATAGGTGGTTAGGAGCTGCAGATTGTTTCAAGGGGCGTGAATAAAGTTTCATTTATGATTGCTAGGAGTGTTACGATGGAACAGAGAATGCAGTCGTACTCAAGGTGAACCGGTTTGGGTAAGGAATGATGTAGCAGTGAATAGGAGCCGGATCTAACGATGGCACTGTGATTTTGGATGTGGAGTGAAGAGGTTAAAAATCTTATAGAGTGTTTTGGATCTTTCGAATTGAATAAGCTTCAGGCTCTGTTTATGTATTTATCTCTCATATTGTTTTTGTTGGTTTTGGTTTTGTCGACACTGTGGTTCCTATTGCAATGCATTCTACGAGTTTAAAAAAAAAATAGAACTATGTGTATCTTTCTATTAAGGTTTGGTGGTGAAAGTTTCTATCTTCGAGATTACGGTTACAGACCGAAGAGTTGGAATTTGATTGTAGTCTTTACCACGAAGTGCATAAATGAGAAACAAGGCAGGTATTCTGTTTTTTTAAATTGTGGCACTCAACAAATATTCACCAAAGATTTTATTTCCATTAATCATTGTAATGGTGCTCTGTTATAGAGTCTAAGTATTAAACGACTATTGAGATCTTTAATATTAAAACTCAAATATTGTTTTAACATAGATTATGGAAACTTAACAAATATGTAAGAACTTCAAAACAACTCTCTTCTAATTGATTACTAAATATTTCCAGTATATAAAAATATATTTACATAGTAATATATTGTCTTATAGGCGAAATTATAGGCGAAATCTTTTGAATTTAAAACTAAAGAAAAATCTGGTTTAAGTATTCAAAAAATATTCCCGCAGTATATGTTAACAACACCATATAATCAACTTTATAAAAACTATTAAAACATAATATTAAGTCTCGCCATACTAAAGAGTATCTAAATAATGTTTTTATTAAAAAGGGCATTCAATCTATACTATTATTTGCGAAGTGATTTTTCGCAACGGAGCTCTCACGTTAAAAATTGGAGTGGTTAATATCGTTTATACCCTTAATGAATATTTATTTGATAAAAACGAATTTAATACTTATTTGATTAGATAAATGATTTAAATTAATAATAATTATAAGAATTATCCATAATCTAAATATATATTTAAAAATAAAATAAAAAAGATAATTCTTATATATATTGTGTTGTTATCCGGAAAATATGTTTTTGATAAAAAAATTCAAAAACAGAAAACACATAAATAAATATTCATAAAGTAAAAATTTTAATTGTATATAATTCAAAAGAGAAATTGAAAAAAGTAGAATACGTAATTATTTTCAAACTAAAATAATATAATAATATAATATAATGATATATATTCGTGAAGTTATTTTTCGCCTCTGAACTCACACGTTAAATTAAATTTATGTTTATATTTTATATAGTTAAACCTTAAACATGAATTAAACCATTCAAAAAGAAAGAAAATACGTGTTTGACAAAAATAAATTCAAATATATTGTATTATTATCCAAACTAATTTTATTCTTTACAAAAATAAGATCAATTTTTGAATGTATATTTATCGATTCAATTTTTCAAATTGAAAGATATATTTCTATATATTTATCAATGACGAAGAAATGAAATAGACTTTAGATTTTTCAAAATTTTAAAGGAAAACATAGATTTGTTTTTAATTTGTGAATAAATTTGTCAATGTAAAAAAGTTTAATGTTTTAGGTCGAATTATTTGGATGCAAATAATATTTATTTTGATAATTTTTTGAATTAACTGAAATATAATTAAGCCCGCATGTGCGGGCAAAACACCTAATTGTAATTAATGTTTCAGTCAAAAAAATTATTTAGACTTTTAGCATTAATATTATTTAATTAACCCAAAGAATATTAATGTCTATTAAACCTATTCCCTGAAATAAAAAAGGTTTATGGATTAAAACTCTAAACAAATGTATACTTCATAAAAATAAAAATAAATGTTCAAATACTTATTTTTAGTTCATTCTACATACATATACGTTATTTAAAATATTTACATGAAAATGTAATGTATAGTTGATAAATCTTTAATCGAGAAAAAAAGAAAAACTAATTTGAACCAAAAGTATTACAGTAAATAGAAATAAAGTTCTTAAAATATTTTTAAAAATCTATTTATCATTTAAAAAAACAGTAATTTATATATAGCTTGGATACCAAATCTATTTGAAGCATATTCTTTAACTTGCATTAAAAAAATAGTTAGTTTTTGTTTCTTTGTGAATGCTTTATAAGCTATTATGTGTATCCTATTAAAAATAACAATCAATAAGCCTAACAACTATACATTGGATCAAAATTTACAAAACCCATTTTAAATTGCATGAAAAACTATTATGTGTAAGCATTATTTACATTATATATCAAAATAAATTCATGAAAATTTAATGAAAACAGATAAATCTATCTATTTAATTACTATTTGATTACCAAACAAAATTGTATTAATACTTTGTTATTTTTCTTTAACATAACTATTTAATCATAGCACACGGGTCCCTCCTGTTTGACCTGTTGCACGGCAGGTGCGGGTCGATCAATTTGAGAAAACTAAGTTGCGGATGCGGATGGAAGTTAAGTGTATTTTATGCGGAGCGGATGCGAGTTGGTTTAATTTATATTGCGGATACCCGTTAATCCGCAAAGATAGAAAAACAATTTCCTAAAATGGTTTATTTTTTAAAATATAACAAATTTAGGTAAAATGAATTAAAATATACAAAAATTAAAAAGATTAATTAAAAATATATTGATTATTTTTTTAAAAAATAATTTTTTAAATTATTTAATAATTATCTGCGGGCCTTGTGGGTTACTCGTAAATTTAAGTGAAGCAGGTTCAAATAAATATGTTTTCTTTGCGGGTCAGAAAAGTTAAAAATTGTAGTAACAAAAATGAATCAATCCACTGCAAGAAGGGTCAAGCAGGACGGGTTTGACCCGCTTCCTAGCACTAGGCACGAGTGTATAATTATTCAACATCACAAATTCAATACAATTGTCCAACACATTACCAATCATTTAAAAAAATATTTTACATAAATATGATTACAAAAAACACAAATATGACTACGCAAAAAAACACAAATGTAAAAATTAAATTTAGAAAAAATGAAATTATAAAATATACTTGCCCTCTAAAGAAGTGTAAGTCCCTATACTCCCACTACAATCAAATATACTCGATTTAATATGATCCATAAATGCGATCGAAACATACATATGTAAAGCTCATCTTATTTGAAAAAGATACAATAACCGCGCTTCGGAAGATATATAAATCCACAATATATATCAACTTTCATATTTCTGTTTTTCAAAGCAACTTTTTCTTTTCTTTTTTTAAAAACAACTTCCATATTTTTCTATACCAAATCGTATAAAAAGGGATACTAGACGAAAAAATGAAACAAAAACTGAACCAGTGCTCACAATATCTAAACAAATCTTATATAAACTGAAACAAAATTGGAACCAAACCGAGAACCAAACTATCCAAAATACAGTTTATATACCCAAAAATATAAATAATATTTAGCTTTAAAATTATCAATACTCTAAAAGCACTACTTATAAACTGAACTACCCACAAAGCAGGGTTTTCCTACTTATTTTTCTTCAAAATGTTTTAATTATCCTCATTTCCTATAAACATGAATATATTTTTTCAAAAAATTAAATTTATTTACTTTATTTGATATTTATACCAAAGTCCTACTTATATGGTTTTTTATTTGAATTATTCAAAATTATCCAAAAATGGGAACCATAATTGAAATGAACTCAAACATTTATTGGATTCATAACATTGTTTTCCGAACCAAACCGAAAACAAAAATAACCAAATTTGAATTCATAATAACTGAATGGTACTTATCTATACTATTAAAATAAAATGCATATTCTTGAGGTCCCCTTAATTTACTTTAGTATTTACAGATTTTGCCACACCTATATTCATGATAAAAAATTTTAATTATTATTTTTAGCTGAAAATACAATAAATTCAGAGGTTGATGGTTAAATACCACTTCTAATCAACTACTGCAGCATAAATAATGAGATAAAACATGATCAAGTTATTATTTTTAGTAAACAGCATCAACCGGTCTTTACTCAATGATCTTACAAAAGAAGCACAAACATACACTTGGGAAACTGAGGATCTTCAGGTATACAATTTAAGTTGGACCCTAACATTTCGGCGACATATTACATCCTAGCGGGACGACATATTATATCCTAACGGGCGTAGATTTATAAAACTCACAAATCACAAAAACCTATGTTAATGGAATTTATGGAAAGATTTTAATCTATATATGTCGGATTAAACCATAATTCTTTTCGACCATCTATCTGAACCCGGATACTCATGCCTATACATACTTGTGAATAATCTAACAAGAGCATAAATTGAAAGCAAAAACGGTTGTCCCGCCCTCTATAAGGGCGGGTCAAAATCTAGTTTTCTCTTATACTTCCTCTCCTCTTGGTACATAATAAATGTCATTTTAGGGTCCAACTGGTTCAATTGCAACGGTTGCAGTTGCGGGAGTTTACGGATGCGGATGGTTGCGATTTCTTGTGGTTTTAAGATATTTGTACGACTGGTACTGTAATTACAAATTGGTACATTTAAGGGATATTTATGACTGTTTAACAACCAAATGCAGTAATGGTTAAAATATAAATTAAGAATATTTACATTTTGTATAATGATAAAAAATACCAAAATCATAATAGTATAATAAATGTAGAAATCATATTATAAATTATAGTTTTAAATTTTTTAAATTATTGAAAATATTTTTAGTTTTTTTAATAAGATTAATTAAAATATAATAGATATATTTAAGTTTTTTTTATAATTCCAATTTAAAAATTTAGTAGTATTTTTTTTGTATTTATATTGTTTTTAAAAATAATAAAAAATTCACCCTCCCACAACTGTCCGCAATCGCAAAGGCTAGTTGAAACCAGCTTTTGAATTTAAAAGGTTTCGAGCAGTTTGAATCAGTTCAGAGTGTTTTGAGTGATTGTTGCAAAACGCCAACAACCGCTACCAACCGCAAAAGCTGCGTTTGCTGGTGATTGGGGAAACCGGAGTCTGAGATGCTATTCATGAACCCATTGTCTGAGATGCTTTGTCTGAACCTGGAGTCTGAGATGCTTTGCCTTCATCTTTTCCCATTATTCCTGAAGGACACAGAGTCTTAGTTGTTGTGACTTTTCTCACTGTATCTTAAGGACCCGTAAGGTGAGAGCTGGGTGAGAGCTGATCTATTTCATTGTTGACCTTGTGAAATTTCTCTTGTATGTCCTTCTGCAGCACTTCCTTTAAAGAGGTGAAAGAAGAGGTCAACAAACCTTCCATGAAAGTCTTCATTTCACTTGATACACCACTGTTATGTTCAGCCGCCCGTTGACAAAGCATGTGCTTCTTTCTAGACTCGGAACCAGGATCATTTATCTTGCGCTTCCCCCTTCTTGCAGCAACAGCTGGTTCCTTCACATGTGATACTGGGGCAGCTTCGGCTTCTACATCCTCTTATGAATCAGATAACATGAAATTCTGAGGCTTCACCTCAAGTTCCAAGTGAATTGTGTCCAGTCTTGATTCGCATTAATCAGAGCAACAACACGACCAACTATTTCGTCATTCTTCTCATCTTCTCTAAAGTAAGCAGTATCATCAATCCCTTTCGATATCCCAGTAGGATCTATAAATGGGAACATCACTCCCTGACAAGAACAACCCCAAACAGAAAGCATAAATTGTTTGATAATTGAACTGAATATTAAAAAAAAAGAGAGAAAAAAATTACCTTATCTAAATGGGACTCTAGGCTAGTGATATCTCGATAGGATATTTTTCCACTTCCTTTCCAATTCATGCATCTTACTTCGGTGATATTTTGTTGAGCTTTTTACCCACCATAGTACCAATGTCTGGGATTGCCTCCATAACCCAAATCTGAAACGCATAAGAGAATCCGTCTAGCACGTCAATGTTCTTCATATGTAACTCGGCCCTTGCTTTAATTATTGATGCAATCAGCTCATCATACGCATAAAGACCCCAAGGATACCTTCTCATTTTCTCGAAATCCATCACCAAACAAATGTATTCGTGAGGGATATGTACTTTCTCATCCTTCGCAATGAGGAATCCATGGATAATACACATATACACTAGCCTCAGCCTGTCCACGTACATCCACTTGTTGCAAACTTTAAGGAGTTTCTTCTTTATACACACTAAGTTGATATTTTCATTTTTCTTCAGCACAGTGCTTCAGAACCCCTTATCATTCTTCCAAGTATCGAAGTCTATATCTGGTTCTTCTTTGTACTTGAGTCCAGTCACAGCATAAAACTATTGCATTGAAAAACTAAGAGGCCTCTTTGCAAATAGAAACCACAACTCGTGAAGCTTAGAAACCTTTAGTTGCTTGCATATGAAGCTATGAACAATCTTCCCTGAGTAAATGAGCTTGTTATCATTGATTGCCAGAAGCGGACCAAAGACAGGGTCTTTCTGCACTTCCTCGTACTCATCCTTGAGAGAAACCTTCAGTATACCAAGAATCGTACGTCTACAGGTGTTGTTAATATGATCAATCTGATGTTCAATGCCTTCTTCAAAAATGTGTTTTGGATACTCGTAAACCATGCTTGTAAACAATGAGATCAAATAACATAATAGTCAGTATCAATTGAAACACTAAGTACATCCAAACTCTTAACAGTAACTTAATTGATCGGCTTTACATGTGAAATTGTACACAAAAGAATCACAAAAATATATAAATTGTGAGCTATTCAGTTCAAATAACAAAGCTAATCCCAAACAACCAGTAAAATCGTACTCTTTTACATGTCAAACATAAACTTAAAAATAGTTGAGTTTCTAAGCCATTCAGTGTTTTACTAATACATGCACATCAACACAATTTAGAAAAAATCAATATCGAAAAGGGGATCTCAAAACCTAACCTTCAATTTTGGGAAAAGATGAAAATAGTTGAAAATAGTTGAGTTTCTAAGCCATTCAGTGTTTTACTAATACATGCACATCAACACAATGTAAACAAAATCAATATTGAAAAGGGGATCTTAAAACCTAACCTTCAATTTTGGGAAAAGATGAACCAAGATGAAAATTGACCTCCAAATTGTTCTTAATCAGTGATAAAAGCTTCATCCGTCTCGTGCCAATACCAATTTATACTGTTGAAGATAACAATGTCACTTAGGGTTAATTGAGAAAATAATCTCAGAGAAAACAAGAGAGGATGCAACAGAAAATACCAGAGAAATGAGGAAGCCGGAAGGAGGAAAAAGGAAGGAGGAAGGATAGATGGATTCGTCGGCAAACGCGCCGGAGAGAACACATCTTTTAGCGAACACGGGAATCACCTTCTCAAGCGTCAATGAACACGAGGGGAGATTGTGTTTTGGGATTTAGAGATTTTGTCCCCTTTTTAATTAAAACCATATTTATCTCCATTTTTAATTAGTATTTATATTTTACATTTTAATTATATTCAAAAATCTAAATACTAAGGACTAAAGTGGATTTTCATTATAGTTTATTCTAAGGGGACATGAAACATTGAATTCATTCTAAGGGGTCAACAGTTATGTTTTTTGGTTTCTTTTGGCAAATTTCTTTATTTTCAAAGTGATGAACACAATGTTAAATATATAAGATAACAAACTATATGGAAAATAGTTTTCAGAGGGAGTATATACGTTGAAACGACATGTTGCTAAAAAGCCTTTTAACAGAAAAACAAAAAATCTACATTTCGCTAAAATAGAAGGGAATGTGTCTGCTATTCATGCTCAAGATTATGTGTCTGCTATTCATGCTCAAGATTGGATTGTTGAAGATTCTGATGTGGAATGAGGAGATACTTGTGAAACTCTAGGAACCTCGTCAAAAGATGATATGTTTATGAGAGAGCTTGATGAGTCTGATGATGGAGAAGGTTCTATACATTCAAGATGTCTGATTCTAAGAGTATCGATGAGAACGTCGATGACTTTCTGAAACTGGTGGAAGACCTCAAAAATCTACAAGTAGAAGTGTCTGAGGAGGTACAAGCCATCTTGTTATTGAGTTCGCTATCGCACCGGTATGATCAGTTGAAAGAGACTCTAAAGTATGGTAGAGACACTCTGAGTCTCAAGGAGTTTATTGGAGCTGCAAGGTCAAAGGAAAGAGAGCTGACTGAAAGCGGAAAGGGTTCTAAGTCCGCAGGGGAAGGATTATATGTTGACAGAGGCAGATCAGAAAATAGGTCAAACCGTGGCAGTGGAAGCAATGGAAATGGAAGATTGAAGAGCAGATTTGGTAGGTCAAAGTCTCGACCTAAAGGTAACAAGGACTGCTTTATTTTTGGAAAGGAGGGGCACTAGAAAAGAGATTGCCCTGATCGGATGTTACAATTCACCCTCTCTCACAAAACGCAACATCCTTGTTGCGCCCCAAGATCGTCGTTACCCATCTTAGTGTGTGTCCACATGGGAACCCACACTCCTCTGATTCGGCTTTGATACGACTTTGTAACGCCCCCACCGCCCACAACTAGTGGGCCTCCCGTGCCCAGTCACTTGTACCATGGGCCCCATTCCATGCCACGGGCTGTGCATTAATTTTTTCAAGACTCGAAAATCTTATTTACTGATCATGTAATCACTGTGAGGGATAAAACTCACTTTCTAATTGAGGTTAGGTTAGGATTGGGGAGAAGACAATCGTGGGCTGAATCCCTTAAGAACTTAGAGAATGAATACGTTGTTTATATTGATTTTTGGTAATAAAAGAGTTTACAAAGATGATCCTTGATCTGAATAAAGAGAACAATGGAAAATGACTAAGAATAAAGTGTATTGGAGTCTCTCTCTCTTGAATGAGTCCAATCCCTCTCTCTGATCTCTTCTCTTCTTTATATAGCACTAGGTCACGTCCAACTTCTTCCGGCGAAGCCTCCGTGAGTTGCGGGATTTGTAACAGCTTCCCCTTGACTAAGTCTTGCACGTTTCTATCTCCGTTACCTAGGCTGTTTTGTCAGGTCCCTACGAAAGAATCCGGACCTCTTCTCCGTGACCTCCTTCTCGTGACCTCTTTCTCGTGATCTCTTTCTCGAGATCAGCTTCCTTCCTTAGGTGAGCTGTACTCTTCTTTG